AGATGATCGGTGGGCGTGCACTGGCCCACCGCGCCAAGATTGAGCCTTAATAGGTCGCCGAGGTCAACTCCTTCGGTGCCAATTGCGCTTCAGTCCGCACCCTTAGGAGGTCCGCGGGTCCCTCAACTAGGTGAATTGCTCCTTCTTCGACCTTCATTCTAATCGTGAATTCGTCCTTTAACCTACCTGTAACGTCGGAGGATGGCTAGACAAGGGCGATCAAAGAAGACAAGTTACCAAGAGAGCACGCCGCTCGAGAGAGCACGCTGATCTAACATCAGCCGCGATGAGCTGGGAAGCTTTGGGTTGAAACGGGGGCCGGTGATCGCAAGCCCCAATCGCGAATTTTTGCGACGGATGTTGGAGTGGTGTCGATGTGTCGTCTGTGAACATACGTACACCCCCAAATTCCCCAATTTCATAGGATCATTCCTTCTAGTCGGGGTAATTTCGGAGTTTGCCCTCAATATTGATGGTAGGATGAGGCAATATTGAGGAATTGCGACCGTAAATCCCCGCTCTGCCGCTCGGGGCTGGCTTCATCACCAAGTCCTAGAACCATCTTTTTCCTCCCACCCGAAACCACGTAACTTAGCAAAAATGTTCCTCGAATGTGCGATTCCTCATGGATCCCGGCTACGGTGTATATTTCGTTATAACTCAAACTATGCCCGAGATAGATACCCCCTCCCTTTCGAACAACGAGAAGAGCGTTGGGTGCAGACCATACGCCACAAGTGACGACGGCCTCCAAGTAAACGTGTTTGTAGTGATAGCTGATTTTTGGTAAATGATTGATGTAATTAGCGTCAGCCTATAAGAATACGGACATTTCATTGGCAGAAGGCATTCACATTTTGTGGAATCCATCGTCACTTGTGGTGTATGGTCTGCACCCTGCGCTCTTCTCCTTCTTTGAAAGGGGTATAGCTAACTTTGCGGCGTTAGCATTTTCGAACCACTCTTAACTAAAAGCATAGACATGCAGGAAGACGCTTTCAGCTACAGCAGAATGAACAGCCACAACAGGAAGAACAGCCACAGCAAGAAAGCGTACGAACAGGAAAACCCCTGGAATCAGACGAGGAAAAGGTGCCACCTTGTCCAAGCCGAATTTATAAAATAATAAAAACTTCAAAATCTTCAGCCGCAACAGGAAAGTCAGCCACAGCAGGAGAGCGAACGGAAGACCGAGCCTCTTGTACTACCAGGAGAAGAAAAAGTCTGATTTCAAACTCATCTGCAGATTCTGAATCCCATAAAGTCGTTTTCAAACTCGCTAAAGAGATTTTGGATCTCATGAAGTCTTTTTCAGTTAAAACAGGAAGACCAGCCACAGCAGGAAAGTGTACGGACGGCAAAACCCCTCGCACCAGAAGAACAAAAAGTACACATTTTATATCCATTGCAAGGTTCAAGCTCTCAAACTGTCCTCTTCAGTCACAACAGGGAGGCCAGCCCCAGCAGGAAAGTGTTGCGAAAACAGCGTGTGCTCTAGCACCAGAGAACAAAAAGTAACGTTTGCACTTCTTTGAAATTTTCTTGAAAATTTCAGCTCTCAAGGAGTTTCTTTTCAATCACAACAGGGGAGCCAGCCGCAGCAGGAAAAGTGTGCGAACGGCACGGTGCCTCTAGCACCAGGGAGGAAAAGGTACCGTTTTCATTTCTTGTCATTTCACGAATAGAAGGAGCTTTCAAAAGTTTAATTTCAGTCACAACAGGGAGGCCAGCCCACAGCAGGAAAGTGTGCGAACGGCAGTACCTCTAGCACCAGAGGAACAAAAAGTGACGTTTCCACTTCTTGAAATTTTCTTGAAAATTTCAGCTCTCAGGAGTTTTTTTTTCAATCACAACAGGGGAGCCAGCCCCAGCAGGAAAGCGTGCGAACGGCAGTGCCTCTAGCACCGGAGGGAGAAAAGGTACCGTTTTCATTTCTTGTCATTTCACGAATAGAAGGAGCTTTCAAAAGTTTAATTTCAGTCACAACAGGGAGGCCAGCCCCAGCAGGAAAGTGTGCGAACGGCAGTACCACTAGCACCAGAAGAACAAAAAGTACCGTTTTCTTCTCTTGAGGAAAATTTTGAGCTTTCAAGAGTTTCTTTTCAGTCACAACAGGAAGGCCAACCACAGCAGGAAAGCGTACGAACGGCCAAATCCCTTGAACCAGAAGAATTGAAAGTACTCCTTTTTTATTTATTTATTTATGCGCCCCAATGACGCGCTCTTACACACTGGGTAGGTGATGCAAACACTAAATCAACATTGAATAAATACTAAATAAATACTAAATAAATAGACAAGAGGATCGGAGTCGTACCATCTAACCGCTATCATAGTGGGAAACAGCCATCGTAGAGGAAAAAAGTCAATGGTAAGAAGTAATAAAGCAGAGACCGAGACAGAAGAACACCCTAGCCACAACAAGTGGAAATCCGGCAGACAATAACCACCAAAGAAGACAAAACACGCGGAATATGCGCGCCATCGCTACATCAATCGCGTTGGTGAGAAACGTTGCAGCGGTTGCTGGATAACGTGCAGGCCGTAAGAATGCGCCTGAGCGCACTGCCATTTTTTTGCGACAAAAGCATGGAGTATCGTATGTAGGTACGGATACGAAGTTATTACGCGCGCTGTCCTTCTTACTAGTAGAGCTAATTCCTAGGTTTGCCCTTGATGCTCTCGCTCTACAACCTCGCAGGAACTCATTGGCAGCTCTTTTGGGCTCCGAGGCGCGTTACAAGTCTCACGGCATACTCAGATACATAAACAAAATCGTAGGATGTTCAAAAATGTAAGCAAAGATTTTAATTTTTTAAAGGCAAACCCCGGGATTGGCCCGATTAGTAGGAGGGATACCACTAGGGAAATTGCAAGGTCTGTAACCTACCTAGATCACTCCAACTTCGTCGCGAAAATTGCGCGGTTAGGGCGCTAATTCCTTACGGGGCTGGCAACCATCCAACGCTCCCCACCCACCGCGAGATGTGGTGAGATCAGCGTGCATTGATGTAGAGATCAGCGTGCTCTCTCAAACGACGTGCTCTCTCGCGTATTTTGTCTTCTTTGACCACCCTTTCTCGACATCGTACCACATCCGACCCTGTTAAAGGGTAAGACCTTAGTTTCAGCGTTCGTAAAGATTTCTCTTGCTTTCCTTCCCACTTTCAGGGCGTTCCGCAGCTAAGGTATCACTACAGAGCGCTGATAGCACTACGTATAAAAAAAAATAAATTGAAAAAAAAAAACCCAGAGTTTGCTTTAATAAATGTAGAAGTTCGTAACTGAACTAGTTGCTCATTAGAAAGCAAGTTTGATCGGCACCGGAGGCCTCGCAGCCATCAATCTCTCATCGCCTGGGACGGTAGTAAAGTGCCATAGACTGGGAGTTAAAGGTGGTGAACTACGGCCGTAAACGGTGAATAATGAAAGGCGAGACAGCCAGATGACCCCGCTCTGAATGGCGAACTTCACTACATTCCTAGCAAAAGTCGCATCGCCATGGACTTGAACCATGTAATGCAGCGCCCATGAGCGCGACGTTTGCCACTGCACCACAAAGCATTGCTGGTTACTTTGAAAGAATTGTAGAATGCAAGGTAGTAACCTATGAGGTTGCAAAATCTTGTCATGGAGAATTGATCCCGTGACCGATCCATGTCCACAAGGAACGAACCCGCTGCGCCAATCGACGTGTTGCATTGGTCAGATTATTCTCGTGAAATTGTACACAGTGAAATGCTCCCATGACCAAGGAAGGGGCTATAACACGATCAATAAGTGGAACACTGCTGGGGACAGCTGGGACACCTTATTGGCAGAGAAGTTATCAATATTATCGATAGCTCCAGTGGCTTTCTCAACACCTTCCACGAACTACCCTTCTTCTCTTCGCTCTGCGACATGGCAGGGACGCAGGGCCACACGAGGCGCGTTGCCAAAACGGCGACCGGTCAGAGGAAAGGAAAAGTGCATGGATATTGCAGAGACGGTAAACGGTGACTAAAATGTACTCAGGGGTACATATTAGTCGCCGTTTAATGCCTCTGCAAGACCCATGCACTTTTCCTTTTCTCTGACCGGTCGCCGTTTTGGCAACGTGCCGCCGCACACGTTGGCCAATTGATATATGACGTAGACCTCGCCCACTGCGGCAGGTCAGCGCGAATTTCCCGCCTTTCCCCAATGCTTTTTGGGTGCGGACGAAGGCGACGTCAACGTGACCTATTGGCCAGCTATAGACTGGCCGTTTAGGAGACTTTACTACCGTCCCTGGACTTTCTGGGTTACTACTTCATGTATATTTTTTGCGGGAAGGTGACTAATAAAGTTCTTTACAGCATGGTTTTCAAGTCCAAAACGGGTCTCACCTATATTGCCGAGCTTCGAAATGGTCTGCCTGAGCACAAAATGAGCCATCTGGCGTGCTT